CTAGTTACAGAGCAAATATAATACAGGGTGAACTGATGAGTGCTGCTATGAATAGTTTTGTAAATGTTGAATATAATATGATTGTATATTTTGAAATCTTGTAAAACTTTACCTTGAGCAGTGAGTCAGATACACACAGGACTATTCAAGATTACCTTGAATTGATCACCACACATCGATGACGACAAGGATACAAAAATCTTATAACTATGCTATTTTTTTTCTTCTTTTAAGTTTTTTGATGATGCACCAATATTTCGAATTCCCGGTCGTCGGTATCCGGTTGATATTTATTACACTAAGGTATGTAATCCTATTACTCACATACTAAGGTATATAATCCATACTCACATACTACCGTAAAATTCCTATTTGAGGCAGTGGCTTTAATTAAAATTCATTTTTTCAATGGGCGAATTCAGATGCGTGAAGTCTTGGTGCGGCTTTAATTAGAGCATTCACTTCGGTAACAGTGGGTAATTTTTCTCAGAAAACAAAGGCCAGAAGGGATAATGATATGCTAATGAGATGCATGTCACTCGATTGCAACTTTGTTGCAATTCTGAGCGCACTTTCGGATTTTTACACACAGACAAACTTGTACACGAAATTTCACACTGTATAACATACTGCACAATATATAATATCTACAAATAGACTTGTAAGCATTTGGAGATTACGGTACGGTACCGTATACTATAATAGGCGTCACTCTAATTCGTTAGCACTGGTATAGGTCACAACTGACAGACAGTCGTCTGACACAGTCGTTTGTGTTTGACTACTGGCATGTTCGACTTCTGGCAGAGTGACTGTACCTTCCATGTTCTAATTTAGACATTGGGGAAATTTACAGTCAATCAAAAAAAAATTTTCACATGTTCAAAAAATATTTTTTTGATAACGAAAAGTATATTCTAAATGAAGTAAAAACAAAAACAAATGCATTCGTAGCAAATGATCACGGTAACGGTATTGCAATCCAGCCGGTCATGCTGCGTTTCACACAAATGAATAACTTACTTGTTTTCGAAGTGTTACAATTGATGATTATTACTTTAGTAGTGATTACAATAACGTACAAAAAATAAATTTGTTGAATTATTGTGAAAATTCAACTTAGCTTCACCGCAAACGAATGATTTCGGTCACATATAAACGCTCGATAAACACTGTACTCTCGAATAAGCGTCAATGACTACGGAAACCCTAAATTAGACTCTAATCTAGGCATCAGGAAAGATTGAAATGTTCAAAAAATTATGCCTTAACTTAAAATTAAATTTGGTTTGTGCAAGTTTGGGGTGTGGCTTATATTGCAGACTTTTTCCAGGGATCAAAACTTGTCAATTTCAACATGAAACGATGTCGCAAGTTAGGGGTGCAGCTTCTATTAAAGCTGCGGCCTCAAATATGATTTTACGGTAAGGTAATATAATCCAATTACTCACATATTGCTGCAAGTACCAGTAATATGAATACAAGAAACAATACTCTTGTTGTTTTCCATGGATGGATGGATGGATGGTTGTTGTCATTGATGTGGCATTCAACAAACTGTTTTTGAGTGATGTGCTGTTACTTTAAATGATACATGACTATGCACCCAATAGTTGTTTCTGTGATTGACATTTCTTTCTGCACTATAATTTCTACTTTGCAGTAACACATTATCTCTAGATAGTCTGACTTGTTAGATTCTGTTTTATATATTCTTACTTATTTCCAAAATATGCATTCTTCTTTTTTATACGGTATCCTTGTTTTGATATTTATAAAATAACATTGCATGCATATTAGTCAGAAAAAATGAAAGCAAAAATATATTCTAAAGACAGTAAAATGTTACCTTCATTACCAAGCAATATGACTGAACTGAAAAAACTAACTAGTACTGGTGAATCAAAGAAAATCATCTGTCTTCTGAAATCAGTTGATAAAATGTCATACAAGTCATACCCCATTCATAGGTTGCATATAATTTTGAATCAATATATCTTACATAATGTAACACAGAGAATGGTGCATTGTGGGTGTCCAAAACTGTCCTTTTGAAACACAAGGCTTTTGGAAAACTGTCCATCTACTTTATGTCTCATTTCAACTTTTCATAGGCACCTGAAGCTGACTACCTAGAAGCCTGTGCTGTGTCAGTTTTACAAATCCATATAACACAGCCTATTGGAGATGTATTAGTGTTTTTAACTGGACAGGAAGAAATAGAAACATGTATGGAAATATTACAGGTATGCATAGTGAACAGACCTAATTCCTGGAACACACGCAGCTTTATCCTAAATTGGTGTGTTGAATATGAAAGGATGTCTCAAGTTTACTAGTGTGGTGCTATTTGTTTCTGGTGACTGGAATTCATATCTTAGATCAGAAGAACCAGGAATAAACATGGCATAAATAGAAAAACCTACATCAATGGTAGATGTGGTTGATCATGTCTCAGATACTCATGTGTCAACCATTAACTATTTCACCACCAGTATTTCTCTCCCAAATTTGTCTGCACTCTTTTCTAATATTCTTCAATATTTCTTGAAATAAACCCACAAATTTGGAGCCAACACAAAAAGTTTTGGTGAATTTTAATTTTTACTAAAACAAAATTAGGTTTTTTTTTTGAAGGGAAGCATAGAATTTAAACAGGTCTATTTTGGATGAAAAGTGGGAACTGGTGGTGAAAAGGTTAAACACTTGTTATAATTTTTCATAATCATACTTACATATATGTGTAAACAAATTTTTATGGATTGCTGTATATATGAAGTTATTAGTCCCCGTTCGAACGCAGTCCGAAAAAGGGACTTATGTTTTGACCTCTGTGTGTCCGTGCGTGCGTGCGTGCATGCGTGCGTCCAGACCTGTATCTTAGAAATACCTGGACCAATCACAATCAAACTTCACACATACATCATACATGATATTATACATATGCACATCAATTTGTTCCACGATCTGATTCAAGATGGTCGAATGGCGGCCATTTTTGTGCTCAAAATCATCAAAATCAAGCATTTCTCGGCTGTTTACAGATGGATTTTGTTCAAACTTGGAATATACATTGGACATTATAGGACCTTGATGCACATCATTTTGTTTTACGATCTGATTCAAGATGGCCGAATGGCGGCCATTTTTGTGCTAAAAAGCATTTCGCTGCTGTTTACAGATGGATTTTGTTCAAACTTGGTATATACATTAGACATTATGGGACCTTTCAAATAAGATTCAAAATGGCCGACTGGCGGCCATTTTGTTTTAATGAATGTGGTTCTCGTGCCATATCTCTGACTTACTTTCACTGATCATGTTCAAATTTTAAATATTCATTATACATCATGTCATAGATAGACAGATATATTGGTTTGACGACCTATTCAAAATGGCCAAATGGTGGCCATTTTTGTGCTAAAAAATCATCAAATATCAAGCATTTCTGGCATTTATGGATGGATTTCGTTCAAATTTGGTACATATATTAGATATTACAGGTTCCTGATGCACATCATTCATTTTTCAGATCGGATTCAAAATGGCTGTCTGGCGGACATTTTGTTTTAATGAATGGGCTTCTAGACCCATATCTCCGACTTGTTTTGACTGATTATATTCAAATTTTAAATATTCATTATACATCATGTCATAGATAAACAGATACATGTATATTGGTTTGATGATCATATTCAAAATGGCCGAATGGTGGTCATTTTTGTACTAAAAAATCATCAAATATCAAGCATTTCTGGCATTTATGGATGGATTTCGTCCAAACTTGGTACATACATTAGACATCACGAGTTCCTGATGCACGTCATTTTATTTTTCAGATTGGATTCAAAATGGCTGACTGGTGGCCATTTTGTTTTAATGATTGGGCTTCTAGAGCCATATCTCTAAAATGCTTTGACTGATTATATTCAAATTTTATATATTAGTTGTACATCATGTTGTATATATACCGTACTCGACCGCGTTAGCGCCCAGGGGCCTCAACTCAGAAAATCACGATTTTTTAGGGGTGGGCGCTTACCCGAGCACCCCCCTTGAAAAAGAGTGCAAATGAAAAATTTGATTCATCAAGTGACAGATTACGTCTTTGAGGGAAAATCAAATTACGAAATTTGTTGAGTCGTCATTGATTTTCACAAGGAAGAAACAAAAATGATCACAACAAATTATGCACATTTTATTACAATATTAATTACGAACCACCAGAATTCATGAAATTAAAAACATTTGAGTCTGTTGGAACACAGTCACAGTCAAAATTGTCATATTATCTCCACTGACGAA